CTAGCATCACCGGACACTCCGTTCTCACCAGTGCCAGGGTTTTCATAGGAGGCGGGCAATACCCCCACTTTGTGGGGGGGGCCGGTTCAAGCTCTACCAAATTTCCAAACGACTCTTCGCCACCACCCACACGCAGCTTCCCGCCCTATGACGTTCGGACACTTCACTTCGTGGCATGCGGACGACCGTGGCTACTATTCAGGGCCCCGCGGCCGACGACGACGGCGTGCGCGCGCGAAGAAAAAACGAATGTGTCCCGCATGGTATTATTTGACAGGGATGAAGGCCCTGGCAGGTGCGCAACCGTTGTTGCAGAAGTTCGAAAAAGTTGCTCGCAAAAGCCCGTTTGACAGAAATGTTTAAAAAGTGTTGGGTTTCCTACGAATCCGCAAGAGCGCGCGGGATGAAATTTTGACATAAAAAAAAAAAAACATTGTTTGTTTGATGCTTTTTATGTTAAAATCGCTACGAAAACTAAGGTTTTGGAAGGATTTCGTCTTGCGCGCGCGAATGTCCACTTTACCTTATTTTTGGCAAGGGATTCTTGAAGTTTGGTTATGTTAGAACAAGAAATGTCCACTTTAGCTTATTTTTTGCAAGGGAAAGCGGGCCGTAACAAAACAACCGGATCCGGACCAACCCGTTTTGCCTGAGACTTCCTCACGAAAATGATGAAAATGTGGCTGCGGCCTAGGCGCGGCGGGGGGGCCATGCACCAGGGGTCCCAACAATAATTATTCTTTAGAAGTAATAATGTTCAACAACAACAACAACAACAACAACAACAAAACGATTCCCTGAATCCACTGGCCCGTTTTCTTTCTGGGTCAGAAAAAAACTGGGCCCATGGATCCAGAGGGCCGTTTTTTTGTGTTGCTGGGATTTTTCCCCCACGGCCAGACCCTCCCCCCCTCCGCCACAAAAGGAATCGATGTGTACCTCCTCACACAAAGGGACCTTGTACCCCCCCACAAAGGGGGTCGATTTGTAATCCCGCCACAAAAAAAAATCAATGTGTAGCCCCCACACAGGAAACACACATGCAATCCCCACGAAGGGTCACAAACAGACCCTACTGTACCCCCTCACACAAACAGGAATTGATTCGTACCCCCCCCCTCCCCCCACACCCCGCATACAGAAAAACATCGTTTTGCAACTCCGCCACAAAAAAGGAATTCGCCGACCCCTTGTGGGTCTCTGGGCGTGTGAAATAATTCCCCCCCCTACCCCCCCCCCGGGACCCCAAACCGGAGACTTGACCACCCCCCCCCGGCCCCCCCCCCCAGCCTGGCGCGAGCGCATCACGAAGCTTTTCCGAACCCAAAAAGGCCTCAAGACGGGGCAAGAAGGCCCCACGAGGCCTCCATGACGGCCCACGAGGGCCCCGAGACGCCACACATGTGCTCCAAGACGCCCAAGATGGCCCCGAGATTGGCCAAGAGGCCTCCAAGACGGCCCAAGAGGTCCCAAACAAGCCTTCCAAGAGGGCCTCAAGAGGCGAACATTGTTGATTTTCCATTGTGTCTTCCGGTGTTGTTTGCCGTTTCGCCTTTTCGGCTTCCCGACGCTCCAACACGGCCCAAGAGGCCCCGAAGACAGCCACAAGACGGCACAAGAGACCCCCAAGACGGCCCCAAGACGGCCCCAGATGGTCCCGAGACGGCCCAAGACGTCCCCAAGACAGCCCAAGAGGGCTCCAAAACTGCACCACGAGAAGCCCAAGAGGGCGACCGAACATTTAAAAAAGCTAGCTTTCCGCCCCAAGGATCCCCAGGCGGCCCCAAATGTGCCCCCAGAGGCCACCAGAGGCCCCCAAAACTTTCCCCTGACGCCCCCCAGAAAACCCAAGAAGCCCCCCAGAGGCTCCGGAACGCCCCCCAAGTGGTTTCAAAACTACATTCCACAGGCCCCCGAGAGCCGTCCCGCGAGATCCCGATACACATACAAGATGCCTCTAACCCATAACCCATGACTCTGAACCTTCTCTTCGCCCCCCCCGTCCCCCCCCTCCACCTCGGCCCCCTGGTGGCTTCAACATTGCCTTCCAGAGGCCCCCGAGAGCCGTGCCGCGATACCCCGGTACACAAACAAGAAGCCTTTAACCCATAACCCAGAACCCAGAGCCTCATCTCAGTATCCCCCTCCTCCTCTTCCTCCTCCTCCTCCTCCACCTCCTCCTCGCCCCCCTCTCCTCTCCCTTCGTTTCATTCCCCACCCTCCTCCTCTCCCGATCCTCTCCGATTCTTCTCCCCCCCATCCTCCGCCCCCCTCCCCCTTCTCTCCCCGTCCTCCTTCTCCTCCCCAGCACGCGCGCCCGATTGGGCATCATTTGCACGTATTGCACTTCAGGGTGCCCTTCTTTTCGTCGCGCGCGACATTGGCAGGGTTCCCGGGAAACGCCGACTTCGGTAGTCTCCTCTCGCACGCGCCGCTGCACTGATACGCTCGGCAACTGCGCACTGTGAACCCGAGTTTCTCACAGCCCCCGCACACCACTTTGAATTGTTTCGTCTGTCGATGATCTTCCACTTGCGCCGGCTTCAAATGTGTCGTGCACGAGAACGCTCCTCCGCACGCCGCGCGCGTCAGCGGCTTAGCGTCCGCCTCAGCTTTCCGCTCCTTATTATTCAGCTCGCGCGACGTCCTCTCGCGCTCTTCCGCGCACCTCCGACATGGCCTCTCCCCTGCTGTTTTGCGCTTCTTTTGAGCATCGGACCTCGCCGCCTCCTCAGGGAATGCCGCCAGACAGTCATCGTTCGAACCAAGCACTTGGCCCACGCGCTTCCTATTATTCGACTCGCGCGTCGTCCTCTCACGTTATTCCGCACATTTCCGACACAACCTCTCCCCTGCTGCTTTGTGCTTCTTCTGGGCGTCGGACATATCCGCCTCCTCTGGGCATAGTGCCAGACAGTCATCGCTCGAAGAACGCACTTTGCCCGCGCTCTCGGCCCATTTCGCGTTGCAACGGCGAGACTTCTGTTGCCCTGTGACATCGCTGCACTTGACACAATACAAGGTCATAATTCTTTTCGCGTCGACCCCATCGCCACCACCTGCCACGCCCCCATCGCCGCCCTCCTGCACGCCTCCATCGCCCTGCGCTTTCGTTGCCCATCCGTCGCACGTCTTGCGCCATGTCTCGCCCAGGCTCTTCATCTCGGCGGTGCACTCTTTACAGAACGCTGACCCCCCCTTCCGCTGGAACTCGTACTTCGCGAACGCCTCCACCAGCAGCCGTCGTCGGCAACGCCCGCACTGATCGCGCGGCATCAGCTTCGCCCCCCACTCCTCCCAGCCCACTTTCTCCCCGCGAAGCACCTGCAACATCTTCTGCGCGCCTGGCATCTCGCCTTCGTTATACGGCTTCCTATCGAAAGGCCGGAAAATCAACGAGTTCCCCCGCCTCCGGGCCCGCGCAATGGCCACATAACTGGACATCCAACTTACGCCGCGCCCTCTTCTGATCCGCAATAACAGCGCACATGGCCCTCCCTTGCGCGGCGCGGGCTGTGACTGCCAACGCTGGAGCAAGCATGAACTGCGTGCGCTTCGCGCCCAACGCTGGGCGCTTCCGATACTCACCCAAAACCACAGGCGCCCCTTTGAAGGGAAACTTGGGCACAGCCCCAGTTCCCACCCTGGCAGGTGCCACTCCTTCGCATGGACATCCAACACTATCATCTTGGGCACGTGCGACAAGACCTCTTCGCCCGCGTCTCCCACGGCCTCGTCCTCGTGCTACACCCATCCATGAATCGTCGCTGTGCGCCCCCGCAGCAGCGGTCTCTTCGACCTATCCAAATGATCTCCAAGCGCCACGGGCATCCCTTTCGCCAACGGGAGCCACCCTGGCAAGCCTCCACACACTTTCTCGCGGTACCCCAGCCACCGCATTTTACCCCCCACCGTGCACGGCCGCCTTTGCTCCCCCCCATGGCAGGGCCAGTCTCTCCCAGCGACCCGCAGAATCTGTTCTCCCCGTTCCCTCGCCCATTGCACTGCTCTCTGCTTCCCAACGTGACACCGAATGTCCTGGTTCGCATAAATCGCAACGGCCTCCACAAACCTCTCCTCCCTGAATCGCGCGTCCTCCGGCGACGTCGCCACCAGCTTCCTCTTCTCTCGCTCAGCTTTGCAAGCCCCGCACTCTAGAGCATTGTTCTTCGCAGTTCCCCCTACCATCGCTCCAAAGCGCGCGTTCCCGCACTGCGGGGCGCCGCTCGCCCATGATCCCGGCGCGCCCGTTGGCCTGCCATGCAAGAAGTTATGCGTCCGCTCGGTCAGCTCTCCGCGACGGAACTCGTCCTGCGCCCCTAGAAACCAGTCACCCTGGCCCTCCCAAGCTTGCACTCCGTCAGTTCTGTCATGCTTTGAACTGCCCCTTCGCCACCCGCTCCCCAGAAAATGCGTTGCCCGTGATCCTCTGTAGCCCCCGGCGCGTACTTCCTCGCATTTTTGAAATACGACGCGGGCAGCGCATTGATTGCCGTTCCCGACGGCGGGTCCAGCTGATAAAAATCCCCGCTGAATAACACGTTCACACCCCCGAAGGGCCTGTCTGCGCCGTCTCCCCCTACCTTTGCATCGCTCGCTGCAGACATACACGACCATAGTTGCGAATCCAGCTCTGCCAGAAAATTCGCGCTCAACGTGCTCACCTCGTCAACGATGAGCCACGTCCACTGCGACATGCGCTGCGCAGCCACCTCCTTCTTCGTCTTCCTCTTCGCCTCGGCGTCCTTCTCACCGTCTGCGACAGGTCCCTTCGTCTTATTCACACCCAGTCCAAATGCAGTGTGAATGGTGTTCCCGCCCAGCGCTGACGCATTGGTGGCATGCAAAGCTGCTACGTGGACGTCAATGCCGCGCGTCCACCCCATCTCCTTCTCGAACAGCTCCCTCCGAATCTTGCCAATTACGAAGCTCTCCCCCGTCCCTGGGCCACCGTGCAGAACCCACAACAGAGGCTCCATTCCCGCGCCTTTCTCGGCCACCTTCTGCCCCCGCGCCGGGGGCGAGAACTCCTGCGCCAGAACCCGATCGGCCACTTTCTCAACAATACTCCGTTGACCCGCATTGAGCGCACCAGCAGCGAGCTGGCGTTTCCACCTGCGCACGCTCGACGCCGTCGCCTTCTTTCCCGCGGCGACCTCTGGGGCCCTGCCCTCTTCCGACCCGCCTTCCCCTTCCTGAGCTCTCGACGCGGCTGCCGCTGCCTATGCCTGCTTCACTTCATCGTCGCCCCGCGCTAGTGCACCATCTCCTGCGTGCTTCCGTCGCTTCTTGCCTTTCTTACTCATGCTGTCGCCCCACGCGGCGTCGCCCCTTGCCATTGCCTCCTTGCTTTTGTCTGTTGCGCCCTCCACGCTTGCATTCACCCGGCGGTCTTCCTTCTCCATGGGCGCGCCCCCGACGCGCGTCTTCAGCCGCGCGGCCGCCTCCGCCATCCGCGGGCCCAACTCATCGTCGCTATAAACCTCGTCTTCGTGCTTGACGAGATCTTCGTCAATGACCAGTCGCATGCCCACCGCGCCCATGTAGTTCTGGACGCACCTCGTCGTGTCCTCACACGGCATGCCCCCCTTCAGCCACTCCATGGCCGCTTATGCCCGCGACCCGTGCGCGCCGCATAGGCCCCGCAGGTGCGGCGCCCCACCCTCTCCGTCTTCGCGCCGAGTGAAGGCCCGAAAGTACGCCATCAGCAATAGCCCATACCTGTCTTCTTGACCTGCTCCACGCTTCGACTGCGGCGCCCCGTGGAAGCTCGGGCGCGCGTTCCGCGCCAGCACCCACGCGTGCCTCAGGGTCACCACCCCAGGGATCTCGGGGAATGGCACCCACCCATCCCGCCCGCCTTCCTTCACAACATAGTCCTCCCCCGCCAGCAGCTGCGCCTCCCCTGCACGTCGTCCGCCCCGGCTTCCAAATCTCCGCGGCTACTCTCGCGAACCTTCTGCGCGCCCGGCGGCGTCAATGTCGCCTGGCACTCGCTGCTCGCAGCCGCTCCCCACCCCCATTCGCTTCGCGGGTACGCCGCCAATTCCACGCGCCAGTGCCGCAGAAACCCATAGGGCGACAACCGCGCCAGGTCGGGCGCCCCCGGTTCGTCGACGGGGCGCATGCCGTGCAAGTGCACCGGGCTCTTGGAGACGATGCACACCTTCTTCGAGCCCTCCCGCTTGTCCGCCTCCAACGTCCCCGATGCGAGGGCGGGCGCGCCTCCTCCGTCGGCGGGCAGCCGTTTCGCCAGACGCACTACTTCAGCCCCTGGCATCATGGCTTTCTTCGCGGTCTTGATACTCTCGGCCGCGGCCGCGTCTCTGGGGCCCCTGTACGCGCGCAAGTTCGCCCTCTCCTGCGCCGACCGCACCACGCCTCTCCCGTGCATGTCAGTCAAGAACCTCTTCATGCGCCTATTTGCCCGATACGCCGCGGTCCTGTCCATCGTCTGCTTCGCCAGCGCATGGCATGGCGACCTTTCTTCATCACCTTTACCTCTTTAAACGACGGCGCGCACCGCTTGCACTGATAGTCCGCCGCGTACCCCGCCGCAGCATTCTGCGCGCGCCGCGCTGCAATGACCATGTCCATGGGCCGGTCCGTCTCCCAACGCCGCTCTCCGCACACGACGTCATCGCGCGTGGCTTCCGTAACGGGAAACCTGCAAGAAATCTGGAGGTCGCCGTTAAAATTCAACCCCACAGCTCCGCTCAGCATCGCCGGCAGGGTGCCGTTCAGATTCTCTTCGTTCATGGGCCCATGCAAGCAGCCCGTCATGTTCCTCCTGCCTGCGCGCGGCACGTCACGAGCTTTCAGAAACCCTTGACACAGCACAACGGCCCTGTCTATCAACCACGACGTGCGTGGATAGAAGCTCTCGCATTGCGTCATGTCCTCTTTCTTCTGGCAATGAGCCAACGGCGCCATCCGCTGCAGTCGCTTGCTCCACTAGTGCACATGGTTATGCCGGAACTCCTGTCCTCGTTGAACCCGCATGCCCAGGTACTCCTGCCGCCACGCGCGGCCCTCCACGCGGATATGCTCTTCGCTTCCTGGCCCACATGGCCCGATTTGCGCGTTCTTCGGGCCGCCCTGCTCCGTCTCCCCGCCCTCCTTGGTTTCCTCCGCAGCACTGGTTGCTGCGCGCCGCAGATACTCCGCCGCCGCTACCAGGCCCGCCGTCTCGCGGTACGATGGCCACACCTTCTCCACCCCCTGCCCCTGCCGATGTCCATCCAGCTTTGAATGACGCCCCCATGCCTTCCATTCAGCCAGGAGGCCATGACCGCCGTGCAGTTGCAGCCGCTCCCGGCACCCAAGTGGCTATATTTGCCGTTGCGGTCACTGACAAAATCGCTTTGGCTGAACTTGCAAGCAACAGTGGCTATGTTCACTCGGCCAAGTCTTGCTGCTCTGGTGGGCCGTCTTCGCTTGTCTGTTCTTGCTGCTCTGGTTCTGGCGTGCTCCGGTTCTGTGTCTGGCGGTGCTTGACGGAACCGCGCTTTCCCTTCGTTCAACTGAATCAGCAGCAGAGCACGCGCCTCTGCCTCGTACAGCAGCCCCTCCTCTATCTGCTGAACATGCATGCTGGACTTGGACGCTCTCTGCTGAACGTGCATGCTGACATCGGACGCCTTGCGTCTCTGTTCGAACAGCGGCGCCCGCCAGCCCCTTCGGGGCCAGCGCTCACGAGCACGCGCGGCCCTCATGCCTGGACTACGCGGCCACGCGCCGGCGATGCCGCTGCCCGTGGCACGCCGGCCGGCGCGCCGCGCACTCATGTTGGCGTTGGTGCACTACGTTGTGGCCCTGCAGCTGTTTGTGGGCGCGCGGGTGTTCTGGCGTCGGCCTGCGTCGTCGATGTAAATGGTAGCGAAGACAATGGTCTGGTCCGCGCCTGGTCCGCCTGGGCGGTCCATGCCGGTCTCTGGGCGCTGCTGCTGGCCCCCCTCGCGGTGCTCAGCGACGCCGGTGCCGGCGCCCGCCACGCCGCTCGCGGAGGCCGCCGTGCGGCTGGCCCCGGTCTGCAGCCGATCCCACTGGCGGCATCTCCGCCTCCTCATGCTGCTCCTCTTGCCCCCATCAATGCTCTTCGGCAGCCAGGAGACATCCCGCGACGCCCTTCTCCTGAGCGCGAAAGGTCATTGGTTTGCCCGTTAGTCCTCCTCTTTTTGCCCTCCTCCTCGTCCTCCTCCTCCGCCTCTTCCTCCCCCTACCGCTCCTGCACGTCATTCGTTCGGGCCATCTGGAATCCTCCTTGGGCCAATTTGCGGCCAATTTCGGCACACCTTCTCGCTGTGAAGAAACCGGCATCACTCTCCCGCGACTTCCAAAACCTGTGGTACACGGTACCTCGAGGGAAAAAAGAAGGGGTCGGCGGATGTGGCGTAAGCCTATAGAATCTACGCCATGGTAAAGGATGGGAGGGAGGGGTAGGACATCAGATATGACGCGAGCGCGCCTAGCTTGTCCTCCTCCTCCTCCTCCTGATCTTCCCCGCCATCCTGCCCCAAGTGTTCCCCGAAGGGTTTCTATAACGGCTGGGGGAACACATGGCACGATATATTGGCAGAGCTCTTGCCGCAACGCTTGGCCACATGGACGATTCCAAAAGGCAAGAGGCGGCGGTGATTCACCGTAGGCGACTTCGATACTACATCGCAGAAAAAGGAACGGTCGGAAATGACACGTTTGCGAAACATCTTACTGCATCGACACCGTCGAGTGATTATGGGGACAAAAACGCATGTTCGCGCATATCAGCCATCGTGCTCCCTCGAGTGCTGAGGCGTGCTAGGAGTGCCAACTGCTGTCCGGTAGGGTTTCTGCAGTCGCCCAAAGACCCCCCACCTCTCCCAGCATCGAGCACGGCACGGCCCCGACCCCCGCGAAGACGACCTCGAGACAGCCGAAAAGCCCCTCAATACGGCCCAACAGGACTCCAAGAGGACCTCCAGGAAGGCCCGAAGATGTCAAACTCACTGTTGTCCGTAAGTTTGACTGACTTTGGCGTTCTCGCCTTTTCAGCCTTCGGTGAGTCGTAGACGGCGTCAGAGGCCTCCAAGAAGGCCCCGAGACGGCCCAAGAGGGCCCAAGAAGGCCCCAAAGCCCCCATGGGAGGCTCCAAGAGGGAAGGAGATAATAACACGAAGGCAGGAATACGACGACGAAGACGAAAAGAGGCACCCTGACACGACCCCGAACAGCGTGTCACATGCTACGCCCGTCCCTGTAGAGGCTAAGGGCGCAAAGGTCCCCTTCCTCCTCCCTCCTCCTCCCCCATTCCCCCTCCTCCGCCCGGGGGCGACAGCGTATCACACGCAACGGAATTCCATTCCCTCTCCTGTGCATACCCCTTTCCCGTCCGACCACAAGACGCATCGGCAGGCCAGGCCGAGCGCTTCGCCTGAGACCTCCTCCCCGTGTACGACCCCGCAGCCTGGAGTGTCCAACGGTTGCGCGGATGGAGGGAGGACGTGGTTCCAACGTGTTGCCCTCGCCTGAACTCCGCGAACATTCGCCTCTGAAGCTTCCAACACTTAGACCGATGGGGAAGGGGCTGAATGTGGCTCCCGCCTCGGCGCGGCGCATATTCGTTGAGTTTGACCATTACACGGGCGGGGGGCGTTTCCTTTTCGGCATGTGGCAATCGCTTTGGTGCCAAGCACCTCAGTCTCCAAAGCTTCGAACAGCTTCTTGGGCTGAGGGTGGCGTTTTCAACATGTGGCTCTCACCTCAGCGCCGCGCACATTCGTCCTAAAACATGTCGAAGGTTGCACGGATGTAAGCCAACTCTCTCTCTCTCTCTCTCTCTCTCTCTCTCTCTGTCTCAACAAATTATGCGAACGGAGTTCCCCACATGGGCGTTTTAATAGGGCGCGGGCTTAGTCAGGAGGAAGAGGAAGAGACGGAGGTGCGGGGGGAGGGGTCGACGAGGATGGCCGGGTGACGGGGGCGACGAAGACTGCAATTGGCGATGGCGATGTGCAGGCAAATGTTTTGGGGAACACCTCGCGTACACGACGCGGCCAAGATAGTGCAAATCGGAACGACAGCCCAAGAGCGGGGCCGAACCTGATAAATAGTATGGTATTCGTATACCATCCCTGGAGGGGTGGCAAGGGCCCCTCCTCGCTCAGGCGGGGCCTCC